TTTATATCTAAATAATTGATGTAATTGATTTAATGGCACAATAATTTATTTGTCAAACTTCTTTTTGACCCTATAATTTATTTTAATACGCCAGTTATATATTTATACATTTATTTCCAATAAWGATAGGTTTGGTCCTCCATACAAACCTCCCAGAATGTATGAAAGGCAGTTTATTGTAACTTTTTACAACAAACAGGAGCATTGATTCATAATGGCTAATTGAAGGAGAATGTTTTGTTTGTTAGAGTTTATTATGTCGTTTACATTGTTATTCATCCCTTTTTGCAGCTTGCAGGGTAATAGAACTACTAAACAGTGATATGTAATGGCAGAGTGAAGTCTTGGAGATATTAATGAAACKACATGCTTCTTCACTAAAACTTTATAATGATAAACAAAACAAAAAATTTGCACTGTCTGGAGGGTTCTAATAATTCTATATTAACAATTAGATTTTGTCACAAAGCCAACAGATTTTTTGCTTTAAATGTGTTAAACACAATATTTCATGAAGACAATTAAAGGCACTGTTGGATAATTTTATCTCATTACAGTAAAAGGTACAGACCACACACTCACTGTTTAAATTACATATTTAACACCAAAATTGGGATTTTATGATCCTTTTAGAATCAGCTCTGTTTAATTCATTTTTATGCATAAAGTCTATGATTTCACTTGCCAGCCAGAAGTAATCTATAAAATACTGTCACAAAATCTTAAGCCTCTACCAAACTTGGATCTCTAGTTTCAATTTGACTTTGGAAATGGACATGACTCACTGTGTTTGAATTACAATGTCATGACACCATTCCAGGAGCTGAAAATTGACCAAACTCTAATGATGTCATGTCTTCATGATCTATCTGAACAGATCTTCTAAAAACCCCATCACAAGCAAACGGATCGCCAGCATCATAGAGTTCATGACCTTTGAGGTGTATAAGTATACTGCACGGGGTCTGTACGAAGAGCACAAGTTTCTCTTCACTTTGCTGCTGACGCTGAAGATCGACATGCAGAGCAACAATGTCAAACACGAGGAATTCCACACTCTCATTAAAGGTATGACACAAAATAATGTCTAATTATCTAATGTTATGTTGTTTAAATTAGGTAGATTTWTTTTCTTTTTTTAATATCTCCACTTCACATAATCTTCACTGAACTGAATGTTGTTACAATATCAGCCTTAGAAAACAGCAAGAAACAATTAACATCCTCTTACAAGGAACAATAATTAACTTTATAATATTATGCATTTTTTCTGCATCATTAACTTCTCTGTTAGCAGATTTCCAACAAGTGAATTCTGGTTTTACACACATTTTGAACATGTTGGCACAGTAGCAGTTCAGAAAAAAAAATCACAGATATGTTATGCTCCTCACTGCAGGAATTAAAGTCAACAGTGGCAACAAGCAAAGGCAGAACAGACTGTCAGCTACATGCAGCTTCACCATCTGTCACCTTCGACCTGCTTAACACTACACTAATGATTTCTGTCTGAAACAGTTTTTATTTCTATTTTTGCCCATCAACATTTTTATTTTATGGGGAAAAATATTTGATTATATAAGTATGTTAACATCATCCATCTTTAACTACTTCTTCCTCTCTGGGTTGTTGGTGCCCATGTCGAGCATTCACTGTGTGAGAGGCTGGGTACACCCAGGACAGGCTGCAAGAGAAACGCAGGGTCATTGAGATAAAACCATTCAAACACTCACACCTAGGGACAATTTAGATACCACTGAATCTAACGTGTGTTTTTGATCTGTGAGAGGAAATCTCAGAAAACCCCCACATGCATGAAGAGAGAATGTAGACTCCACCCCGAAAGATCCCAGGCTGAGATTTGGTCTGGCAACTATCTTGCTGAGAGGCAACAGCTCTGCCAACTACACCACAGGTGTTTGTTTATGTGTGTGTGTGCTTGAATTGCCCAGGAGGTGCATCTCTGGACCTAAAAGCGTGTCCCCAAAAACCAGCCAAGTGGATCCTGGATATGACCTGGCTCAACCTTGTAGAGCTAAGCAAGTTGTGGCAGTTCTCTGATATACTAGATCAGGTACCTCAACCTCACATGAACACACACACACACACACACACACACACACACACACAC